TGTGTCATCAGCATAGCAATGGTAGGAGAAACCATGTGCCTGTATGATATGACCCAGTGATGTTGTGTATATGGAGAAGAGGAGTGGTCCTAGAACTGAGCCCTGAGGAACCCCAGTGACCAGTTGATGTGCTTTGGATCCCTCCCCTCCCCAGGCCACCCTGAAAGACCTACCGGTGAGATAGGATTCAAACCAGCGAAGTGGAATCCCTGTGATGCCCAGTGATGAGAGGGTGGACAGGAGGATCTGGTGATCGACAGTGTCAAATGCAGCAGATAGATCAGGCAGAATGACAACTGATGACTTGGAATCAGCTTTTGCAATCCGCAAGGCTTTAGTATTGCAGTCTCAGTTGAATGGCCACTCCTGAAACCTGATTAAAGGTGCGGTCACATGTATCGTATTTGTTGCTAGGTGCTTTTGGAAGAAAAAGTTGCTAGGGTAGTCTGAAAAGTTGCTAAATTTAGCAACAAAATTGCTAAGCTGGCAACACTGTTCTTTTTCTCTTCTTTCCCTCCTGCATCTTTCCACTGCTGCAGCAGCGCCGTCGCACGTCAATGACGTCAAACAACAACAGAATCCGCAACACCATTATTTGGAGAAATAAAAGATACGGTTTCTAATAAAAGTTTAATAAACGTTAAATAAACCACTTTTTCCCTCATAAGCTTTTTAATTAGTTAGTTTTTATGCTCTACAAACACCTACTACGAAAAAAGAAAACGAAAAAGTGTAAGCTGAAATCATGAAACAACTCGTTTGAATAATCACCAAACATATGACACGAAATATATACTTAAAAATAGACCTCACCTCAGATAGATACCGATTTTCCACTTTAATGTTTATGCGGAGCGAAGAAAAAAAAAAAAAAAAAAGTCAGTTTTTGTTTTGCGCGTTCTAATGCACTAGTATAAATCCACACTTCCTTTGATTCACATAATGTATAAAATACAAACCAAACTCAAATTACTAGCTAACGTCATAGCGTTAGTTAGATATAAACACAGCACTAAACACTCGCTCTGCTTTAAAGCATCGTTAAAATAATAATCCTGTAACGAAACTCGACATCGGTAAAACACGAACTCGCTCTGTAACCAACACTAAATTATTTATGTTTAAAGGGTGTAGTAAGAACATATTATGTTAGAAGTATGGTATTCTTTGGTTTTATTTACTTGTGAAGAGTGTCATTGCGAAACTGAGTGATTAACACTGGCACATCTGTTGTTTTATTCTGTAGTAATGGGTGACTAGGATTGATAAAAGCACAAACTGAAGACTTGAACAGAATTCCTGAAACAGATGGAGACAGCATTTCTTGATATTCATTATTTTCATCATTACAGTAGAAACGGTCTCGTTCAGTGCGGTGTGTGTGGCTCTTAAAAGAGCCTTTGGGGAGCACCGCAGCGGCGGGTTTAAGCGCGCTCTCCGCGGATGCGGCGGGCCAGCTGGATGTCTTTGGGCATGATGGTGACTCTCTTGGCGTTGCTCGGTGTAGGTGACGGCGTCGCGGATCACGTTCTCCAGGAACACCTTCAGCACACCGCGGGTCTCCTCGTAGATCAGACCGGAGATGCGCTTGACGCCGCCGCGGCGCGCCAGACGACGAATAGCGGGTTTGGTGATTCCCTGGATGTTATCCCGCAGCACTTTACGGTGCCGCTTAGCGCCTCCTTTCCCGAGTCCTTTACCGCCTTTGCCTCTTCCAGACATAACTAAGCTTTCTGTTTCAATCAAACGACGAAAACGAATATGGCGTAAAAGTGTCCAGGGAGGCGTTTTACAGTTGCTTACAGGACCTAACGGAAACCAGCTCCGCGTCACATGACTCACCCCTCCCCCTCTAGTTCCAGCACGAAACAATGTGGTTTAAACCCTGATCTAACAATGTCTGTGCTTTGTGTCGTATTAAAATCCATGTTTTATGATTCATTTGAGGAAGATTTATAAGATAATATTTATATGTTTGCATTTGGCAGACGCTCTGCTTATAGATCATCATCGTTGTTGTTTAGAGACGCGCTCCTTTGTTTGAGCTGCAGGAACCTGCACCAAAGTAAACGGAGCGCTAAACACCACAACATTAAACCCTTGGTTCTCAATTCAGCCGCAAATAAACAGCTATTATAACCTATAACCTCTACTGACACATTAAACGCAAGAAAGATGTATGCCAGTTTACTAGTTTAAAAATTGCAAAGTAGAATAAATACACTTAATATTTATGTACACATGTTAGAAGTATGGTATTCTTTGGTTTTATTTACTTGTGAAGAGTGTCATTGCGAAACTGAGTGATTAACACTGGCACATCTGTTGTTTTATTCTGTAGTAATGGGTGACTAGGATTGATAAAAGCACAAACTGAAGACTTGAACAGAATTCCTGAAACAGATGGGAGACAGCATTTCTTGCTATTCATTACTTTCATCATTACAGTGGAAACGGTCTCGTTCAGTGCGGTGTGTGTGGCTCTTAAAAGAGCCTTTGGGGAGCACCGCAGCGGCGGGTTTAAGCGCGCTCTCCGCGGATGCGGCGGGCCAGCTGGATGTCTTTGGGCATGATGGTGACTCTCTTGGCGTGGATGGCGCACAGGTTGGTGTCCTCAAACAGACCGACCAAATAAGCCTCGCTGGCCTCCTGCAGGGCCATGACAGCGGAGCTCTGGAAGCGCAGGTCCGTCTTGAAATCCTGCGCGATTTCTCGCACCAAGCGCTGGAAAGGCAGTTTGCGGATCAGCAGCTCGGTGGACTTCTGATAGCGGCGGATCTCTCGGAGAGCCACGGTCCCGGGCCTGTAACGATGGGGCTTCTTGACGCCGCCGGTGGCTGGGGCGCTCTTCCGGGCGGCTTTAGTAGCGAGCTGCTTCCTCGGGGCTTTGCCGCCGGTGGATTTACGAGCCGTCTGCTTGGTTCTTGCCATCGCTAAAATATACTTCTTTCTGCGTTCAGCGTACGTACAAAATGTTTTCT